AAAGTAAGGGGTAAAAGTGACTTTTTAATAGAAATGAGAAGTGTTTTGTAGGACGGATAAAAAAAGAAAGGGGAAAGGTTTCACGGGACGGAGGGAGTATTTAGCTCAAAGACTATGATTGTGTATCTTGGTCTCAACTTATTAAATTTGATCTAAATTTTAAAGCTGAGTTGATCTGATCTGGATAAATTTAATTTTATCTAAATACAATTGATTTGATCTGATCTGAATGAATCTGATATGATTTGATTTAAATGGATCTGATTTAGATTTAAATCATAATTATAATTATTTTATTCAAAAAATTATCATTATTATTATCTCTATTATTAATATTAGTAATTATAAATGATATTAGTAATTCTTTACTATTAATTACTACTATTTATTATTATATTGATATTTTAATTATTATTCTTACTACTACTACTATTATTATATTTAATATTTTATTTATTATTTTTTTCAATAACAATTATTATTTTTTATTATTATTACTATTATTATCAGCTTTAATAATAATTATTATTAATATTATTATATAATTATTGATTATACTAACAAGATTAATATTAATTATTATTATGAATTATTATTAATATTATATTTATTATTTTAATAATAATGATAACATAATAATAATAATAATTAATGCTTATTTTTTATGCATATTTTTATAAATGTGATCTGATCTAAATTAATTTGATCTGATCTCATTTTAACAAGAATATGTAATAAATAGTACTGCCTTCAAAAAAAATAGTACTTCCTCCGTTTAAACACGTTCTCTTTCATTTTTTTTGTTTTCCCTCAAAACACTTTCATTTTCTATTAAAAAACTATTTTTACCCCTACTTTTTCTAACCCTACTTACATCAATCACATAAGTAGAATTATATAAATAATAAAGTAAGGACAAAAATAGTTTTTAGAAACTTTAATCTAACCCTACTTACATAATCGGATACCATATGTATGTACCTTCAATAAATTAGATTTAACATAAGTAGAATTATATAAATAATAAAGTAAGGATAAAAATAGTTTTTAGAAACTTTAATCTATTTCAATAGAAATCATATGCTGCAAAAAATTGATACATTACAATAATCTAGCATCACAAATGTCACAAACAATTAATACACATTTTTAAAGTTGTAAGACTTTGTGGTAAGGCCGTAAGGATAATCCTTTCATCCCATCTGTTCCTTGTGCCAATTCAGCGTAACGTCATATTTGTAATTTCTATTCCTACTATAATTCTATTTCTACTAAAAAACAATTATATCAAAATAGAAAAAAATATCAAACCGAATTCCAAAGGGATTCGATTTCCTTTTCTAAATCTTATTCTAGTAACAGGTATGATGTGATATTTATGATAAGAATTAGTTGGGGTAAAATTAGTTTAATTTTTTAATAGAAATAGGAAAAACTTTGTGGCAAAATATAAAAAGAAAGGAGAAGATTGGGATGTAGGGAGTATGTAATACTTAGGCTACCAGTAAGACTCCACCCTGGTTCACTCCAAATTAGCAGCCACTCAACAGCACATCGACACTGACTTTACTCACTATCTTACTCACTTTACACCTATAGTGTCTCACTTCCACTGCAATCATTCCATTTTAATTTTTTATTTAATATTTACCTATTGCTATTCAAATTAAATTCTATCTTTAATATAAAAATAAAAAATTATTCTTTTTATTGCTTTTTATTTCATATTTTTTTCCTTATTTTATTTTATATTTCTTTAAATATTTCTGTTCTCCTTTTATATAGAATTTGTTCAATTTCTTGTCCTATTTTATTGTTTAATTTTTTTCCCATTCTATTTTTATCAAAGTCAACAAAAAAATATATAACATTATAAAATATTCTATTGCACAACTTAAAAAAGGTTACTACTAATTTTTAAAAATATAATACAAATATGTTAAAATTAACACTAATGCAAATTTCAATTTTTGTAAACATGCTTAAATTTATATTATCTTATAAAAATTAAAAAAATTATAAATTAGATTAATTTAAAAGTGGAAAAATATAATTACATACTTTAATATTAAAATGTGTTTTGCATATAAATTATGTATGCAATATTAAAGTATCATTGCGTAGATCTTGTGAATATATTTTCAACGACATATTATATATCAAAAAATGACATATATGAAAAAAAGTTATGAACAAAATACATGTTACAGTTCAAAATATAAATGAAAAGATAAAAAACAAAACAAAAAAAAAGGTTATTAAAGGGGCATGGCTTACCGTGGCTGTGCTCCCCGAAATAAATCTGCTCACCACTCACCGAAGTAATCCTGCTCACCACTCACCCTCTAACACTATGTTTGGTTCAAGGAATTTTGAAGGAAAAAAAAAGAAAATGGTTTTCTCTCATTTTCCTCACTAAAATGGGAGGAATTTGGTTTTCCCTCCGCTTGGTACATTTTGCCTTCTCATTCTCTTTTCCTTCCACTTTTTCTTTCTAACCAAACAAGAAAACTTGTTTTCCACTTCATTTTCTTTTCTTTTCTCTTTTGAATTCCTTAAACCAAACATAGTGTAACTCTGAATTCTTCAAAAATTGCACGATTTATTCCTAAACATTTAAAAGTGTACCAAATATTTCTAAATTCTTCATATTTTATACTCCATATGATTTATCTCTAAACATCAAAAAATGCGCCAAACACTACTGAACTTTTTGGAAATTGCACGATTTACCAGGGCCGGTCTAATATATAAGGGGCCCAATTATAAAAAATAAAAAATTCCAAAAAAATTATGAACAAAATACATGTTACAGTTCAAAATATAAATGAAAAGTGTTAGAATATAAATAACTGTTCCTGGGCTACAACCACAAGAAGCTTGAGCTTGTGGTTGAGTTGGTTCCTTGACATGGTATCAGAGCCTCGTTGACTGAGAGGTCACGAGTTTGAAACTCTGCGCCACCCAGTTAAAAAAATTATGATTTCACGCGCAAGGCTCGAAAAAGATTCGTCTGCACGTGAGGAGGCGTGTTAGAATATAAATAACTATTATTGGGCCACAACTACAAGTTTGAGCTTGTGGTTGAGTTGGTTCCTTGACAAAAAGAAAAAAAGCAAAAAAAAATTTATTAAAGTGGCATGGCTTGCCGTGGCTGTGCTCACCGAAATATTCCTGCCCTCCTCTCACCACTCACCCTTTTAATTCCAAATTTTTCGGGGAATTCTACGATTTATTACTCCTGAACATTTAAAAGTGTACTAAATATTTCTAAATTCTTTATAATTTATATGATTTATCTCTAAACATTAAAAAGTGTGCCAAACACTCCTAACTCTTTGGAAATTGCACGATTTACCAGGGCTGGTCCAATATATAAGGGGCTCTATTATAAAAAATTAAAAATTCCAATAAGCCTAGAATGAGGGTCAAACCTAAGCATTTCGTATAAGAAGAGATAATCCATCCAATTCAACTACTAAACTTATTTGTAGATTAATGACACAATAAGATATATATTTACTGTATTGATTTTAACAAAACTTTCAATTACTTACATTACAAAAAGAAATACAAGCAGTATCTAATATACTTGTTTAATGAACTTTTAAAAATAGTTCAATAAATAAATAAATATAATTATTTATGTTTTATCTAAAAGTTAGTATGAATACTTATACATAAATATTTTTTTAAAAAAATGGAGTACCTAAAAATTTTTTATCATCAATAAAAATTGAGAAATATTTATTATTTATACTTTAATATATTAAAATTATTTTTTTGTTCTACTTTTTTGCATTTCAATAAACTAAATATAAGTGTAAAGTGTATTATACAGATTACGGGATATTATAAAAAAACACATCACATAACCTTTACTTTTTTTAAAATATGAGTATTGTCTTACTATTTTAGTACTTATTAGATATTCATCATTTATCTTTGAGAGTAATAAAAAATAATAAAAATAGAAAATAGAAAATGTGACGGCATATGCAAAATAATATTGAAAATTAAATGGAAAAGTGAAAAACACAAATTAAAATTCTTTATTAATTAAAAATATTTAATAATATAAATTGTATTTAATTATAGTTGACCGGGTCTGCGATTACCTCTGAACATTTAAATAAAGATGATAATTATGGGGAAGGGTACTTAGGAGAATTCACAAGGTCAGATAAATCGTATTCCCCATTCCCGTACGTGGGAGCAACGCACTCTTTATCAAGCAATTTGGGACCGACGGTACAATGTTTTAAATTGTCCAGAGTCATTTGATGCACTTGTTGTTAATATTCAGTAGTAAATCATGTAATATTCGAAAAATTCAAGGGTAAATATATACTCCATATTTTATAAGAGTAATATTCAAAAGTAGACTATACAATTTGGAAAGAGTTTGGAAGTAAAGGATGCACTTTTCCATTTGTAAAATAGAAGAAGTATACTCCCTCCGTCCATAAATAATGTTCAGAGTTTGATTTGACACGGAGTTTAAGAAAATGTTAAAAAGCATTGACTTTCCAACTTTGCTCTTTGGTTAATAAAAATAAATAAATTAAAGGTAAAGGTGAATAAAGTTAAATAGTAGTGATTGGATAGATAAAGTAATGAAAATGATTAAAATATTGTTAAAGTACAAATACAAGTACAAAAGTGGGGTGGTTGGAGTAAATTAAAGTGGGTGGTGGGTGAGGGGTATTAAAGGCATTTCACCTAGAATTCTTTGCCGAATTTAGAAACATGAACTTTATTTGTGGACAGACGAAAAAGGAAAGTACGAACATTAAAAATGGACGGATGGAGTATATTTTTTTATGGAGGAGTCAGAGGGTAGGTGGTAGGGAGAAGTGTACTGCGGAATAGTCGATCCTTTCTTTGACTCAAGCTTAGCTTCAGTTTTATACGGAGTAATATACATATACAACTAGCTCCCACGTCGGATGGCATTCTTAATTAACAAACAATTAAAATCTTATCTTATCCCGTGAAATCAGCATATATATATAGTAGTATAGTAATGCACCAGTGATCGATCGATAGCTATATATATACATATCCACAAATTTATAATAAACATTGTGTTATTATAAATCCTGTAACGAAACGTAAGAATATATACAAATATGGCAGGTGGGGGTTTCGCGGGAGGAGGAGGGGGAGGAAGGGCAGATCAGTATGAGCATAAGATCACTCCCTATTTCATCTTCGCTTGTGTCGTTGCTGCCATGGGAGGATCTCTTTTCGGTTATGATCTTGGTGTTTCTGGTAATTATTATATTTCTTCTCATTTTAACTTCTCCTTCTTTACATACTCCCTCTGTTTGGAAAAACCCATTTGATTTGTGGAGAAAATAAGGAAGTGTTAAATTATAGTTGATTTCTAATTTTGTCCTTGATGTGATGATAAAAATAAGATGTAATGGATAGATTATTAGAGAAAAAGTATGATGTGATAGGTAGGATATAAAAAACTAAGGGTAAAAGTGGTTTTTTAATAGATAGGGGAAGTGTTTTGTTGGAAGTAGAAAAAATGAAAGAGGAAATATTTTTGACAACGGAGAGAGTACATTCTTTCATTCTTTCCTCTTCTTATTTAATTTTTTTCTCCCTTCTTCATCCCTAGATCATCAAAACTTGAGGAAGGTGGGGGGGATGTTTGGGTCCAGACTTAGTGAAGAGTTTTTATTGAGAAAGTAGGGAATATCAATTTTGTGAATGGATCACCGTAGGTGTGTCCTAAATGAGCGAGTGTCATCCGTTGACATTGACATCCACAAAATAAACTATTCTTGTTATTTTTTTTGATGGAAGGAGCATTTGATATACACAGGACTAATAATACGTACTCTCCCGTGCCAAAATGATTTGTTTCGTTGCATGTTTTTATTAATCAAATAAAATTTTTTTGTCACATCCTATTTTGTAAAACTTTTAATTTAATTTTTAAATATATAAAATCAAATTTTATTTCTTTGCTAATTTATAAATAAAATAATTTAAAAAAATCATGAGATTTTTACGTAACTCAAGGAATGTAATTGATTTTGGGAAAAAAAGAAGTACGTGCGAGTGTGTTGCATTTTGTCTTATTTGGGTTTTTTCCTTACCAAACATTTGTCGTCATCTGGAACTTTTACCCAATATTCCACTCGCTCGATCCTTAATTTCGTTGGCATTATCGGTTGATCGGTCATGTCCCAAAATTAAAATACTCCCTATACAACAAATGGGGTTTGGTAGTTGTTCCCGAGTTGGTATATCCCAGGTGTATACCACTCTTCTTACAGATATATACAGATATTAAATCATTGTCTGTATGAAACACAAATAGTAAATATCTGTGTATCATTATAAAATATAATATACACTTGGGATATACCACACGGAGTACTTCTAGGTTTTTCCACAACAAATTGATTGGTAGACCACGCCAACACTAGCATGAGCATAGTAAGTTGAGTCTACATGGACAACTCAGCTGGTCTCATATGTGAAATTTAGAATAAGAGATCAAGGGTTGAACTCACCAGCGGCACTAGAGAAGCAACCTCTCAAAATATGAGCGGGGCTTCTTGTGCTTAGTGAGAACTCCCTCCGTCCCTGAAAATATGGGAGATTTTAATTTTAAAGGAATTTAAATGGATTGTATTTTAGTATTGAGTTTTCAAAAATGTCCTTGGATGTGATGTGTAAAGTAGGATTTGATAGGTAGATTAATAGTGAATAGATGTGATGCAATAGGTAGGTTAAGAATTAATAGGGGTAAAAGTGATTTTTTAATAGAAATGAGAAAAGTTTTTTGGGACGGATGAAAAAGAAAGGAGAAAGGTTTTCAGACGGAGGAATTATAATTTACCTACACCATTGAAGTGTGAAAAAAATAAAGTATATTTGCTATTTTTAACATTTTCCTACTTGGTTGGAGATGCTCTTATATGGTTTAGTTTGCAACCTCAAGCTAGATACATTATTTTTACACAGTCCACTTTCTTTTATGCAATGGTTATGTTGAATGGTGTCCTTTTGTTTAGTAGCCCTTAAATTCAAGGGACAATAGAGACAATTTTACTAGTGTCTAATCACTATAATTATATTCAGGTGGGGTGACCTCCATGGATGACTTCTTGATGGAATTCTTCCCCAAAATCTACACAAGGAAGCAAAAGCATCTCCAAGAAACAGACTACTGCAAATATGACAACCAAATCCTCACTCTCTTCACTTCCTCCCTCTACTTTGCCGCCCTCGTCTCCACGTTCGGCGCCTCTTACGTGACCCGAAACAAAGGTAGGAGAGCCAGCATTCTTTGCGGGGGACTTAGTTTCTTCATCGGAGCAATCGTTAACGCGCTTGCGAAGAACATAGCCATGCTCATCATCGGTCGGTGCCTGCTTGGCATTGGCATCGGTTTTGGCAATCAAGTAAGTCAATAAAATTTGTTTTGGTTTTTTCTATCTTTTATTGTGATTTGATCCAAGAAGTGAATATAGAAATCAACATATATGAATTATTTGGACTATTATAGTCAGACCAAGAATGACACCAGATATGACATCATTGTGTCTGATTGACACGTAGAGACAATAATAATCTCTCTAAAACTGATGGTGTCATATCTTGCCAATCAAGTGAATAAAATTTGTTTTGTTTTTTTCGATCTTTTAATCTGCTTCAGCCCAAGTTTACGTTTTATGGTCTAGTTTATTAGTTACCCCAAAAAAAATGAATATAGAAACTAACATATTAGGATTAATTTCGACTATTATTATAGTCACACCAAGAATGACAACAGATATGACACCTTTGTGTTTCACTGCAGACATACAGAGACAATAATAATTAATCTTCGTGAAACTGGTGGTGTCATATCTGGTGTCAGGGTAGGCGTGAGTATAACTTTCCAAATTTGTAATGAGGCATCATGAACTTGCAGGCAGTGCCATTGTTCCTGTCGGAAATGGCGCCAGCGAAAGTGCGGGGAGCGGTGAACCAACTCTTTCAACTCACAACGTGCCTCGGGATCTTCGTGGCCAACTTCATCAACTACGCGACCGAGAAAATCCATCCCTGGGGGTGGAGACTATCGCTCGGTCTAGCCACAGTCCCCGCGGCTCTCATGTTTGTGGGAGGGCTGTTTCTTCCGGAGACCCCAAACAGCCTGGTGGAGCAGGGGCGGCTAGAGGAAGCCAGGGCTGTTCTGGAGAAAGTTAGGGGCACACCAAAAGTGGATGCAGAGATGGCTGATATAATGGAAGCGAGCCGAGCTGCGAAAGCCATAAAGAATCCGTTTGGGAACCTGTTGAGGAGGAAGAACCGGCCTCAGTTGGTGATCGGGGGGATTGGGATCCCGGCGTTCCAGCAGCTCACGGGGATGAACTCGATTCTCTTCTACGCACCGGTGATATTCCAGAGCTTGGGGTTTGGGTCTGGCGCCGCTCTTTATTCGTCTGCGTTCACCAGTGGAGCACTTGTTGTTGCCACTTTGATATCCATGGCTTTGGTAGACAAGCTGGGAAGAAGAACCTTTTTCTTGGAAGCTGGTGTTGAAATGATCTGTGTCCTGGTAATTAACATTTTTACTCCTGTCTCTCTCTGAGTGTTTGGCCATTTTTGACTCTTTAGAAGCATCCAATGAATGAACTTTTGACCAATAATAAAAGGGCAAGGTTCCCATGACATTGGTTCCCAATGTCATGGGATGACCCGGGAGCGCTCTGGTACCCCGTTTGTAAAATTAACGGTTCCTACCCCCCCTAACCCCACCCCCTTCAATTGCACCCCACAAGTTGATTTTGATTTTAAAGTCCCAGTTGGTTTGAATACGACTTCTTTAATATAATACGCAGGTGGCGGTCGCGATCACACTGGCATTGAAGTTTGGGCAAGGGGTGGAGCTTCCAAAAGGGGTTGGCATATTTCTGGTGGTCATAGTCTGCGTGTTCGTCCTGGCGTACGGGCGGTCATGGGGCCCGCTCGGGTGGCTGGTCCCGAGCGAGCTCTTCCCGCTGGAGACGCGTTCGGCTGGGCAGAGCCTGGTGGTGTGCGTGAACATGATTTTCACGGCCCTCATTGCGCAGTGCTTCCTGGCGGCCCTCTGCCACCTCCGGTACGGCATCTTCCTGGTTTTCGCGGCGTTGATCGCCGTCATGAGCTTGTTCGTCTTCTTGCTGTTGCCGGAGACGAAACAGGTCCCCATAGAGGAGGTTTACTTGCTGTGGGAGAAGCACTGGTTTTGGAAGAGATATTGTGGTGACTCCCCAGAACAGCAGCAAGGAATGCAAGTCTAGCTAGACTAGTCTTTGCGTTATTACTATGCGGGAGAATAACCACTATAAAAGTAAAACATTTTTTTTTTGTATTTTTGGTGGAATTGACCAATTTGTTTGGCATTAGTTTTAGGTTTTGCGTCTTGAAAATATAATCTAACAGTAATTTTTAATGTTAATGTATTCAAAATTAATATATAATGTTAAAAAATTATCGAAATGCTATTCACAGACATTGTTTCCAAGCGAAGTTGACAATCAACAAAAAGAACAAGATTCAAGTACAGGGTAATTAAGGAGTGGACAAATATTGTACATTATCGTATTAAAAAGCTTTAACTTATATTTTTAAATCACAAATTGAAAATATTACAAGAATAAACAATTTAAAAAACCGTGATATTATAAAACAACATGTAACGTTCTCTGTGTCCCAAATTATATTTGACACTTCGTATGATGATCGAAGATTGACTTAAATTGTTTTTAGAGTAAATTTCAAATATGATACTTAACAATTATGTATTTTAACAAACTAGTCCCTAAAATAAATTAATTACTGAGATTATACTCGTTAATTGAGACCAATGCTCAATTTAATTCCTCATACTAACAGTCGTCGAAACTCGCTAATTGTGTGTCTGTTACATCAAAGAGCAAACAAAAGAGTAAGAAAAGTAAGCTAAGACAAGATGCACACAAAGACACAAACCTACAAAGCACACAGTGGCAAGAACAAGACTACCACCTTAGTCCAAAGTTCAATCGACTACCCAACAAAGGTTCCTACCACCTTAATTAGATTCTACCTTCTAATCTATTACTCCTTTCATTTCAAGTTAATTTTATTGATTTCACTAAACATGTAATTTTATCAAGTAAAAAATGAAGTAAATTAAATAGAAATGGTCTTTCATGACCACTACAAGAAATGGTCTGAATTGCAACGGCCAAATTCGTTGCAATATTCATCGTATTCCGTTGCTGATGGCCAATTGCAATGAAAATTTTGTTGCAAATTTTCCGTTGCAAAAACCATTGTTGCAGATTCCTTTTTGCAACGGATATTCCGTTGCATTAGCATTGCATCGGAAAATTGCAACAAAAATTGTCGTTGCAAGTATCTGCTGCGGGAATTTGCAATGGAAATGACATTGCTAACTTCTGCTACGGAATTCTTGTTGCAACGTAATGCAACAGAATTTTGCAACTTCTTTTCCGTTGCATTATATTGCAACGAAAAATTGCAACTGAAATGCCATTGCTAAAGGTTGCAACAACATTTCTGTTGCAATGTGATGCAACCGAAATTTGCAACGCCTTTTCCGTTGCAGAATATTGCAACGGGAAAACGCAACAAAAATTCCATTGCAATATTTGCTACAAAAAAATCTTCATGTGCAACTGCAACAGACTATTCTGTTGCATAAGTTGAAAACAACCAACACAAATCGAACTACGTTCATCCTCAATTTTATGCAAGATTAACCACCATCAAATGTAACGAGTATACTCAAATTAAACATAATAAAACACATACGTATTCCACAAGATAAATAAGAGTTTCAATTCAATATTTTTCATATTCTAAAATAAGACTTAATGTACTCGTCACATAAAAAAATGTCTATTGTTTCCATTTAAAAAATTGAACTATTACACTAACATTGAGGAGCACTTCTGCCACTGTCTCCTCCGTCCTCTCTACGGGGCAAGCAATCTCCAAACAATCTATGCATCTCTACTATCATCGTTTGGGCAATAGGTTCACGGAGCATCTGGAAGAAAGCAGCTCAAAACACAGTGATCATATTTCTGAGTGTTTGTGCACCTAAAACTTTGGTTGTCAACTTCACTGGTCTCATTTCTTCACCAAACCTGATAGAATAAAAATAAAGCACAACACAAATGACCAATTAGGTTGTTTCTACAATCTAACAACAAATATACCCATCATGTGGTAAAAACTACTTTACTTTTTAATTCCTTGATGAGGAATCATAAGCCACTCCACTGCAAAAAAAATTATTATTACAAGTGTTTGTTTCATTAGCTATCCAAAATTCACTTAGATTTTGAATTACAGGCTCATAAAAATAGCAACACTCATAAAAACTATAGTTACCGAGGTCATTAATATTTGGGATTGTAGCAAAGACCCCTTGGCATGTACAAATACACCCTCTATGTTTTATGCTGGTTGCCCTTCCTGTTGCAACCTTCAAGAAGAAAAATAAAGGAGTTTTTTATATTGCTTTTTTGCTAGGAAACATGTATGTATATCTCAATATCTCCTATAAAGTTGGGAGATCCAGTTGGGAAACACATGATTTAGTTAACAGTAAACTCATAGATATTTCATTTATAACAGTATACAAAATTAGCACATAGAGATAAGTTAGAAAACTGAAAATCAATACGCCCCTCCTTTCCTCCCCCCAATATAAAAACACAAATAGATTACTCTAGTGGAGCAAAAATGGCTTGACTTCACAACTATCTCATGCCATGATCATAGAAAAACAGTGAATACAAACCCTAGCTCTAAAATAGATGAAATGGTTGGGTGAATTCAGAACACGCACAGAGAAATTAGCGTGAAGCAACCGCATACACAATAAACCGACCAATTTCAACATACCTGAAACTGAAAACTGAGCAAAACAGATCGGGCAAGTCAAGCACGGTCTTCAGCAAATAAGCATCCATTGCACCGACTATTTATACATCCACTCGAAACTCCAGATGTTCCCTGGATCGGTCTCTATTCATACTGCAAAGCAAATATACACAAGAAATTGATAAGAATTGACAACTAGTTTGAGACGGATGAAGTATATAATAGACGAATGACATAAAAGTGTTTGGAGGACTATTTCATATATCAAATTGACAAAATGGTATTTCTAATCTTGACACATCTTTTTCAAATTTCACAAGCAAAACAAGAAGATGTAGTAGTGTAAGCTTTCTTCTCCAATCCACTCCCTAAATCATAACAAAAGACACCTACAAAAAGGCAAACACACGAACACAAAAACAAAGGATGGCTTCTATACATGAATGTCACTTTGAGAAAAAGGAGAACACTTAGGTCAAGATTCTGACCCCTTTCTGCTCCATTGTGCTAATTTTAATTTCCTCGAGAATGGAATAACATCTACAAATTCACACATAGAAATTCAAAGAATAATTGGAAAATCGGATAAATACCTAGTAGATAGGGGTGAAGTCGCCCTGGACGCCGTCAATTTCCATCCGGCAAAGGTTGGATTCGGACCTTGCTGTTCGATGCAAACCAACACCTGAAACCGCATCCAATTCCTCTCGTCCGTCGATCGAGAGCTCAGCCGCGACTAGGGTTCGTCGTCCTCAGCCTTCGTCTCCAACCGTCCGTCGTCGCAAGCCTCCCGATCTCCAAGCGTCCGTCGTTCTTCGTCCTCAGCCTCCCGATCCCAGCGTCCGCGTCAATTGAAGCGGAATCGCCGACACTTAGATCCAAGAGAAAAGAGGAAGAGTTGTGTTCCGTTTTTAGGTGGTGGTTTTTTAATAGTGTTGCTTATTTTATTACTCCTTCGAATTATTCTTTTCATTTGACTTTTTTGGTCAAATTTTATAAACTTTGACTATTATTTAAGGAAAAAATACATTATATCACGATATAACTTTAATATGAATATATTCCTTTTGATATATAGTTTTCAAATATCAAATTTTTACAAAATATATCTATGCATAAATAAAGATATTAGTGGTCAAAGTGCAATCTTGGAGACCGTAAAAAGTCAAATGGAAAGAAAATTTCCGAACGGAGGGAGTATTTGAAAAGATTACTTTTATTGTTTTTAGGTTCTTTTATGAAAGGATTACTTTTATTATTTGATAAATAAAATATTCTTGTTACATCTTATTTTGAATATATTTACTCAATTCATTTTGGACTCTATTTTAGACTCCAAATAAAAAAATTCAAAGAATTTTCATAAAAGAAAAACGTTCAAAAAAAAAAATTAGACCCTAGCCAGGGGCTCTGCCCCTTGGACTCCGCTACTAGGGGGATGCCGCCCCCGGACCCCCGCCGTGAAATTTTTAATGTTGTTGAACAAACATGAACTCCACACATCCTATTGATTAGCTAGGTTATTCCTTTTTTACAAGGTTTACTCAATTATTTGTATAATCTAATTAATTATAGTAATTAAAACAGCCGATCGATATCTGTGTTCTGAAGAGTTGACAATATACACTAATTAATAAAATTGCCAAAACTAATTAATATCACTATTATAAATAAAATATATACAATAATACGAAATTACATAACCAATTCTACAAAACAAGTGGCATGACGATGACTATCTTATTTTATGAAATGTTAAGATGAGTACGTTGATTTGGTCAAATTTATCTAAAATTTAAATAAATCATATAACTCATTTTTTAGTTTCATTTACTTTTTAAAAGCTTTTTCTAAAAATTACTTTTAGTTTCATATTTTTAGTTTCAATAACTTATTTTTTAAAAAAAATTTTAAAACCTGTAGCAAGAACTTTGTAACGGACACTCTGTTGCAACTACCTGTTGCGAACATATTACAATGGTAATCCATTGCAAAAATCTGTTGCAAATAAAATACAACGGAAACATCGTTGCAGAAATCTGTTGCAAAAAAATTACAACGGAAACTCAGTTCTAAAAATATGTTGCAATTAATCTGCAACGGAAAATTATTGCAAGAAAGTGTTGCAAATAATATGCAACGAAAACATGGTTGCAGAAATCTGTTGCGAATACTCTGCAACAAAAACCTGTTGCAAAAATCTGTTGCATAACGTTCCCGGAAAATGGCGCCAAGCTCCCGCCATAATTGCAACGCATCTTTTCACTTTCCGTTGCAAAAATTCCGTTGCAAAAAAAAAATCCGTTGCAAATAAAAGTACCGTTGCAATTATGCAATGGAAATATGTCTGTTGCAATATTTCGGTTGCAAAATTGATATTTTCTTGTAGTGGACGTACATGGGATTTTTTGTATATGGTCTCCAACTATAAGATTGTATGTTTGTGGTTCTCTATATTTGAGAATCTTTTCATATTCAGTTCTTTGACCCAAATATTGTATTCTACATATAGTCCTCAAAGAACTTATTATGAAAAAAAATTCTAATA